TTCTTCCTCCTCAGAGCAGCACTCACTGCTGCATTCATTCACCTCTCCTGACTTTATATTAGCTTAGATACCTGAATGGTGGGGGTGGCATGGGGGGGATCTGAGCTCTTTACATGCACACAGGCCGAGTCAGAACAAAATATGATCAAACACACCTGAATGTTTAATATGTATGGACAACTTTACACCACAAACGTCAACATAGATATACAAAGATTCCCTTCCTATTGATTCATACACAGCCAAACACACAGGTGACATAAGGAGGTGATCCAATGAATTAAAAAGGAAATATCATAAAAGGGGTTTTCTCAGATCTTAGGGTAGACTGCCCTCTTGTGGATGGTTTAGTTAGAATCTAAATTTATGATCATCTGCGCTGTTAATCGCAAGAAATCGCAATTAAAAGATTATTAAATTTTTCTAATTAAAAGACAGACTGGGTTTTGACTTGAGAAGGATGATATATCTCTACAAACCTGTAGTTCATGTATTTCTCTCCAAATGTCTCAGTCACTCTCTACAATGCAATAATTATTAGAAGTACTGGTGATAGTATTCAACAGCGTCAAAATCATTAGCATCAAAAACACCAGGTCAACAAGGTGCATGTCAATATCTTCTATTATCTAGTCTGTTTTCTCCTGCTAAGGAGTGGTTTGCATTTAGTCAACATTATTTAGATATCAAGCAAACAAAGCATTCCACGGACTGCCATCAAATGAATGATAAACATATAATGCTGGGCTGATTAGTAAGCTTTTAAGAGTCTTTTCTTTTAAATATAAAAAGAAATACGCCTTCAACTACAGAGTCAGACTTTGAATTAAGGAAAACTGTGTAACTTTTACTGAGCAACAGCGCCCTCTGCTGCCACACGTGGTGATTAATTGTGGCTCCAAGTCTGAGCTATGAAGTGGTTTTCACATAAAGAACTCCTCGTGTTGAGCTCTGACTGTCTCGTCCCACTCACCCAACCGAAACACAACTGAATGGTGGATGTTACCCATGATCCTCTACATCCTGAAACAGGAGATCTGCTGCTGTGACAAATCAACTAAACTCTGTTTAGAATTCTTCATTTTTTTAAATATTGGAGATAAACGCTGGTTTTTAATGACTTCTCCGTCTTTTTAACTCATCTACAGTTCAGCTTTACTCTTTAACTTGCTGGATTCTGACAATGGAAGCTGTGACTTTCAGTAACTGCTCATTAAGTTACATGGAGCAAGAACAGACGTTCAGGATGAAGAGTGGAAATGAAAGAGGAAACGTTCTCTATATTCCAAGTCAGTGAAACATCGGGATAATTTTAATAAGGCTGGTGTTTTATGGTAAAAAAGATGCATAGTGATGCTTCAAGTTACTCAAATTTGAGTGTGTGAACGTATGAGGTCGCCTTCTCCCTCCTTTCCTTTTTTTCTACCACGTTCTATGCTCTCCATTCCTGCTTTGATCTTTGTCATTAGTCAGGTATGCAGAGACACAGGCAAACCCGCAAACTTGTCTTTTTCTCTCTGCTTCTTGCCTCCTTTTTGCTCTCTCCCACGCTCCAGCCAGAGAACACTGGCTGACCTGCTTGTCTTCTCAGCTTTTTATCAAAGACAAAAATGTTGAGCAGTTTCTTCCGTCGTTCCTTTGAGCTTGAGATGTACAGAAAGTGACAGAGTCAAAGAGCTCAGGTCCCCACGCTCTTAACAAGTGGGCTGAGGAGTCAGAGAGGTCTGTCCTTGTTGATTACTAATGATGATCTCAGCTGTTGTTCAGAAATTTGCAAATATCAGTGTTCATGAGTTTTGAAGGAGCAACTGTAAAAAAAACTTTTTTATGCTCATCTTAGTCAGTCACTCTTGAAATTGTCCTAATTGCTTAAATCTTAAAAAATTAATTCATGCCAATTGTTTTCACTTTGACACAATAGAAAGTTTCCTTGAGATGCAGTAAATTCGCAAGAAAAGAAAAATAACTTTCAGACTGCAAAATACAATCAGAGCAGGAATCAAATATCGACTAACACGGGTAAATGCTTGCCTTTCTTTGAAATCAAGGTTGGGAAAAGGTTCCATAGAAGTAAACACCTTTAACTTAATTTACTACTTAAGGCTGTAACAAGAAAATTGCAATTGCAACGGCCTAATGTGTTCAACGTGTCTGCATTATTTAAATTAACCATGCCTCAGAACTAAGTCAAGCAAATATTAAAAACAGAAAATCCCTTTAAGCAGCAAATTTTCACTTTCCTGGCAGACTACGCAAACATGTAAAATAGTTTCCATGTCTCTCCTCCTTTGCTCCGTCCCTCCTGCTCTCTCATACTGATTCATCAGTTTCTCACTTCTCCACATTCCCTGGTTTTTGTTTTCACCACAAATGCCATAATATTTAAACGCATACTGTTCCTGTTGCTTCAAACAGGAGTGTGATCAGTTTACCACAAACCAAGAAAAGGGTAGCAAGAGAATATCTGTTGCATTATTTAATGTAGTTGTTCTAAACGTGTGACAAATGGGGAAGAAAAATTATAAATGAGAAGTGCAAGCGAACACCTTTAGTTTAACCTGAAAACCTGTATTCACAGAAGCATGTGATTGCATAATCTGACCACATGGTGGCAGAACCTGCATATGTAATGGGAAAGGGATTTACATCAGACTCAGCTGACGATGAGACATTTTTGTTTGTGATTTTTTACTTAAAGTTGTAATCAGAGTCATTGTAAATGAACCTTATGACACTATGATAATAATCTAGGACATTAAAAAGAACAAAAACTGAAATTCTGTGCAGTAATAGAAACAATAAGAAAGAGAGTGTCAACGCACTAACAAAAAGATAGAAAGCAAGGGGACGAAAGTATGAAAGATATAATCTATTACTCACATTTTCAATGACAAATGTCCACTCTTTGTCTTCAAACTCCTCCGCATGTGGGTCCTGCAAGGCCAACATACATAGACATGATTAAGCACATACATGTATTGTACATCAGAGCAGACAGAAGCATCAACACATTCGTCTGGTCTACACTTTCAGCTTAAATTGTTAAAAAAAATCAAATTTTTTAGATGCAGTAAAAGGTGTCTTGTAAAAGGTTTGTATAATGTCAATATCGCCATTAACAGATTATTCAATCGTCTATTTTTGCTTGGGAACTGTGCTGAAACTCTAGATGGCGCGCAGCAGCAAGACATGAGGCAGCGTGGCTGCTTTCGCCTCTTAACATGGGCACTGGAATCCAGTGAGACCAGGGTGTGACACAAAGACATTAAATCAGTCAATGCATGCTTTAACCTGGGCACATAAAATCTCATTGAATATATCTGCTGGAGCTCCAGCTTGTCTCACACATGCACTGATAGCATCTCAGTCTGACTGCACTTGTGACACACCCCAGTTAATCAATATTCCTGCAGTCTGGCGCAGTCAAACACAGCACCCACATGAGCAGAGAGACACTGCAGGTCACACAACTGCATCATCCTCTCAATTCTTAAATGCCACATTATTTCACAACCACATGACGGCTTCTGGAATCAACTTATTCTCAAAGGTGTTATTTGCAGTTTTTAGTGCATCTCAACAATTAATATTTCATTTTCTTTTCTAGAGTATTCTTGTCATTAATATGCTTTAACATTGACAAAGAACTTCCTTGATTAAATACTTTAAATTCTTGAACTACGTTTAATTCTTCTACAGGTTTGGAAAACGCATGACAGAAACATTCACAGGCTAAGTGCCATGTGGCTGCCACTTAGTGCCCACTCTGCTTCCTGCACACTGTCTCTGCTAGAATCAATTCTGTCTACACACAATGAGCAGTCCAAGCACTAAGTTACTTCCTAATTCAAGTTTTTTCTTCCTGTCCACAAAGTTCGGCTGAGGCTGCCTGCTGCTGTGAATCTCCCTGAGGTACAGGCTGAAATATTGCAGAGCTCAGCTGTTTTCACTGCAGAGCTTCAGGCCAGATGGAGCTGGGAGTATCTTTAAATCACTGTTAGCGGTAACCTTCAGTCGGCTGCAGAAATATCTAGGTAATAGAGTCTGACAGATTTAGACCAGCGTTAAGGAATATGTTGGATATTAAAGGGGTTCTTCTACAATTTATTAATGCTTTTTCATAAATTAGCGGGTCTCATTAGAAAATAGCTAAGCTTGCTGCAGTGGAGTTTGAGATTTCTGTAGTTTTTGTCATCAGTATGGGTCAAGTCATAAACTTCCTGTAATGCAACCAGATGCATCTTTTTGTAATAACTGTTGTAATTGTGGAGTATCCCTTTAAAAATTAAACAAATGACTCAGAGTCTCTTTAAGAGATAAAACCCAGCTTTGCACTTTTATGTGACCATAACCTCCCTGCTCTGGTTTTAGTATGTGATAAGCTACGCCCCTGCAGCTAGTTCTCACCTTGTGCAGCCAGAAGTTAGAAAAAAGGGTAAATATTAAACTCAGGAATCTGCTAACTAACTGTATGACAATCTCTTGTTACTGTGTGTAGGAAAGTATTTGCAAACACATTGGCTGTAAGAACATGATAAGATATCAGCGCAGCGCTTTAGAGGAATCCCTCTTTGATACAAACGATTCATTAACCTTGCAATTAACTTAACTTAATTCTCACTTTGGTGCAGTGGAGAAAAAACAAACAGCCTTATTTACGTCAGGGGTAATGATATTTATTTTGTGGCTTTATCCAGCAGCAGTGATGGGGTGAGTTTTGCAGCCAGTGGCTTTGCTTTTTGTCTCATCACAAAAACAGTTTTATTACTTCCTCTGGGACAGGAAATGGAAGTGGGCTGAGAATAAAGACACACTGACATGTACAGTGTTGCCGAACAAGTATAAGCCTAGAAAACCGAGCCAGTATACATGAAAACTGAACTTTTCCTTGTATATTTTGTACCTGGCAGACAGCACAGCGTGTGATTACAAAAGAGATCATTTAAGTGTCTGATTTCTGTGCGCGAGTTTACATAAGGCATTATAAAAACATTCTGTGATTAGAACACAGCAGAAGCAGGTATGGAAGTGTATGTGGCAGGACCTCTGGTAAAAACATTGAGCGGTAACAGGACACTGATCTCTGAGCCTGCCTGTCAGCACAAAGGCATGTTTAAGTAAGCCAGGCACACTGACAGATACTGTCTGTACATGTATGTAGTTCGCAGACACAACTGTATCACTACTAATGAAAGACATTTAGAATTAAACAGTCATAGTCCAAAAACTTTGGAAGTGTGTCAACAGTCCTGGAAGATAGAAATGTAAAAGCATTTTGTATTATTATATATTTTTTCAAATCAAGAGTAATCACATTCATAATGTTGCCAAAAATGTTATTTGCAGTTATATTTCTACCATAAAAAAACATTTTCATAAGACACTCATTCATCCAATATCTATGAGAAAGGACCCTTATGTGATTAAACATACAGTGTGCTTCTACTGTTTAACTAGTATGAAAACTAACAATCAAGACTTTGCTGTTAAATCTCAGTTCTGCAAAGAAAAGACTTTCCTGCAGTCAGCGGTTCTAAAAGCAGAGCTGATGCTTGCGTGTTCAACAGCTGGAACTTACCTTAAAAAGAGTGACAGTGATCTCAATGTTTTCTGGTACAGGCCACACCACCACTCCTCTGTAGGGATTTTTGATACCAGGCTGCCAGCCGTGGGACTGCAAGAGGGACACAAGAAGGTTTTTACAATATTGTAATTGCAGATTAATAAGTTGTTCTTTGTTTTACTGTTTCTTTACTTTATGTCTCTCTTCAATTACGAACCTTGGAAGATTTCCGTCGACTTCTGCGAGTCCAAACCACCACCAGTTTGTCTGGTTGCCTGATAGAAAAGACAGAAAAGAAAGGTAAGTGAAAAGTGATTTATTCCTAAATTCCCCCGTCTCTTGAATTTCTGGTTTCCCTTTATAAAGTGCTTTCATTAAAATAAACCATGCTTATGTTTCAGTGATAAACAACAGAACACTAAGATTGTCTGTAAATAGAAGAGGTTTAAGTCCCTGTATAGGCAAGTGTCCACCACATGCTCTTGAGCTCTCCCATTCCAAGCTGACCTCTGACCTTAACAGAGAGAAGAAAGGGAGCAAAATGTCCTTCAGGGAGCAATTAAAATCACTTTATCCTATTTTTACCAGCTGTGATAAAGTGGCTGGTGTTGTTCTCACCTTATGAGTAATGTTTGTGTATCAGATGTTTTTTGCAACAGTTTCAGTTACCATGTGAGAATTTACTGCAGTGTTTAACAATACACATTTAACTGGGTAGAGTCCAACTCAGCAAAGCAGCCGTTCAAAGAAAATAATGAACGACTGTTTGAGAGAGAGAAAGAAGACACAGATAGGAAAAGACAGAGAAGAGAGCGAAAAGAGGAGAGGGGAGAGAGGGAGACTGACAGGCAACAACTTCAGTCTCGAGGAGAAGCTTCACATAGAGAAACTATTGTCCAATAACACAGGCCATATCAGAGAGCACACGCACACGCACACACACACACACACACACACACAGTTTTTTCCCTTTGTACAGTTTGTGCTGCGCTATGAGAAAAATGTAAACCATTCGTCTGCAGGCTAAATGACCTCTGCATGCTTTTAGGTGTCTCTTGTGTTCTTTGTGCTTTAGCCTCACTTTCATGTTCCTTCTGTGTGTAACAGGAATCAATGAGCCATCCAGGAGGAACGCTACAAGAGGCAGTGTATGTTCACTCAGTCACACAAAGTTATCTTAACAGTGAGGCTTTCAGTTTACAGTGGATTTGAGGGTTAGTTTGAATAAAGGTTGGCTATCGTGATATAAATAATAATAATAAGAGGTATTTAAAGTCCTGCACCAGGTGTGGGACCCACGGGCAAAAATGTAAAAAGAACTCCTAATTAAAGTATGTTAAAATTAAATGATCTTGCTTTTATGTACTAATGTTTGAGCACGCTGAAAGACTGCAACTGCCTTCTAAACATAACACAATGGTGGCAAAACTACAGTGTATGAAAGCTTTTACACCACATGTATTCTGCTTTGCATACATTACAAAGCAAACGCTATGCTTCCAAAACCCACCAAAGCAGTTTGATAGGATTATACAACAGGACCCAGTCCATGCACATACTGCATACTCAGCTGAGCTTTCAGGGGATCTCTGACTTTACCCCCGATAAAAACTTTTAGACATATTTTCTTTTTCTTTTATTGACAGAGTTTTTCTTTTAAGATTGATGGTGTCAGGTGAACCTTAGCCTACAATGCAGTCATTGTGCTCTTGTGCTCTCTTTTTTTCAGTCAAAATCCTGACTCAACACTCCTGTGATGTAGAGCTGTTTAAATGACTATATACAGTAATATATAACTGGATTTCCCACAGCTTGTGTGCAGTCTCGGAGTGCTTAATGCATTTTTTGCTGTGCTAATAGCCTGCTATGTCAGCTTATTACCATAGATGCAGTCAGAGAGACAGAAATGCCACAGAAACAATTAAAATGCTTTTAAAGTGCAATTTACTCACAGCCGCGCGCCTCATGAAAAGCTTGACCGACAAAATGTATTTTTTATACCTGACCCACTTGGCAATTTATGATTCAGCAGCCGACAGTAAGACGTTGGAGAGTGGGATCAGACGGATGAAAGAGAGAAGAGAGAGGAGGAGGGAGAAAGAAAACGAGAGGGAGGACTGCTCTCACTTTGCCATCAGACTGTGGTCTCTGCTATCAGGACAGATGTAACAGAGCAAACACAATCTGTGCGACTGTCACACTCCAGACTGCCTGATAAACTAAACACACAGAAAACACGCGTTCTGGGCATGATGTGACGAGGCAAAGTGCGATTTTAAAATGTACACGACATCTGTATTCACAGTGTGTGATCAGCAAAATAAGAGACACTTGTAAAAGCTGTTCTATCTACTACCTCTGCCATTTTATTTTATTTTTTTCTCAACAGATATTTGATTCTAGAATTTTCTTTTACGTTGTATGTGTTCATTTATCTTTTTTAATGCATGTACTTTTCAGCTTCTTTTTTAAATTTATGTAAAAGCTGTTGAAGATGAGGTTTTTGTGATGCTCTTTTATGAGATCTTTTCTATCTCATTGGCAAACATCTTGTTTATTGTTTCGTCTCTGTTGAAACACTTTCAATATTATTTGCAACTTATTGCTATCATTTCATGTCCTATTACAGCTCTTGCTGAAGCTGCAAAATTCGAGCAGAAGCTGTGTTTTGAGGTGAATTTGTTAAAACAAGAAGTGCACTGATCATAAAGAGGAAGTGGATTATGCTGACAATGGTTTAAGACATTTTAATACTTTCTGTCCATCGTGAAAATCAGACTTTGGATTCCATCTACAACATAGTTCAACTCAACTCTTCAACTACAACAAATCTGCAGATTCACCTGTTCGCAGCAGCAGGAGGCCTCACAGAAGAGTCATGCAATGTCAAGTGTTCAACATCTTATCACTGCTTGCACTGGGGTCATCTGATTTTTGGAAACAGTGATGGCCCCACTCTAATATTGGTATTAGGAACAGCAACTAAAAATCCATAACGGTTGGGCTTTAATTTTCTGGTCTTCTTACTTTTTGTCACCACCTCATCTCGAATGCTTTTACATTCCTCTCTTATCGCTTCCACTAGTTTTCAGCAGAGACGGGGGAGTCCACTTCTAACTTTAACAGTACATCTGAGAATGTCTCTGAGGCTCTGAGAAGGCAAACTCAAAGAAATATATTCTCTATGCTGATGTACTGAGTCTGTCTACTCATACATTCTCAAGACATAACTTCGATTCAAACTTTGACATCTACAATATATAGATAGAAAGACCAGCATGATGCAGGGAGCTGATGTCAAAGGTGACCGAGGAGTAAGATTATGATGAAAGCGTATGTAAAAAAAAAATATAAGGAAGAGAGGAAATTATACTGTAAGGAAAGACATAGGACGGAAAGATTTGCACCAATAGTCGACACACAGCTTACTTCCAGTCAAAAAGATAGCACAGTGAAAGCCTCAGTGAGACATCAGTCAAAGTAGGGTAATTAAATAATGTGTTAGGGTTAGGAGGGACTGATAGGAAGTGTTTTTTCAGTAGGATAAATTTAATAATAAAATCTCCCCTTGCTAACAAACTACACTCCCTTTACCAGTCACAGTGTTAACAGCCCCTGGGAGAGACTGTAGAACCACAACCTCCATGTGCCTGGGAGCCTTGACAGCAGAGAAACGAGGAGCCCTGGGGAGGACAACGTTTCTTAAGGCCATGATACATGAGCAGTCAAGCGACGGCGGCTTCAGCAGTGGTGTTAATTATCAATCAATGTGGTTTTGTCTGACACACAAAATGAAAAGAATACAATATAAAATATTCAGGACTGTTATAGATGCAGGTCATGCTTGCTGGAAAATCAAAATGCTATCTGCATTATGTCTTCCTGTTTTTTTTTTGTTTTTTTTCCAATGAGGCTTCAGCTAACCTTAAGTTTCCTGCTTGTGGCTGACAGCATCTACACGAGGATTTGTGACTTGACTGGGGTACATAAGGGTTTGTGTTCCTCTTCCAGAAGGGGTGTCCAGCTCCTAACTTTTCCAAAAAGTCTGAAGATACATCCAACATACTTCTACGTTTTATTTTTGAAACACATGCACATGTATGTTTGTAACAAGTGCACGTGAATGGTCATATGATATGCATTTTAAGGTGTGCTAGCATGGACGCGAATTATTCATGAGTCTAAGCTATAATGCTTGCGTGGACATAGATGTTTAAGTTTCTACAATAGAAACAGGGAACTTGCTGATGAGCACAGATAACAGTTTGTCTTCAAAGAGAAAAAGATTGAACCAAACAGGAAAACTGTTTGTACTACATCAGAGAACACATCGTGCACACTGTCCTAAATTCCACCTCCACCACATCTTTTAAGAACAGCGTTTCCAAAATATAACACATTACACCTGCTGTGATTCACTTTACCTTTCTGACAAACATACAACACGCAGAGTGATGCTGAAGCATCTGCAGGCTGATAGATGATGAGCAGCCTCCAGGGCCGCCTGTGTGTTACTCTGAATGGCAGCAGAGAGGCCGACACACAGCAGAGATCTCATCACATTTAACACCCCATTGACTGCCTCACAACCCTGCAATGTGTCATTTATCAAGGTGTGTGTGAGAGAGGGTGTGTAAATACCCATTTGTGTTCATAATTGCTGCACAGAACATTACACGTGGGTGGATTCCACTGCAAAGCAGTTAAAGGAAAATTATCGGAGAGAGGAACAGGAGACAGAAGTGAGGGGTAAAGAGAAAAGAATAATCAGGAGAAGACGAAACAAAAGGGAAAGAGGGGATAGAAAGGTTATGGGGGGGTATAGAGAAAAACAGAAGAAAATTGAAAGAGCAGCCTTGATGATAGCATGAAAGCCGCCCCTGATGACAGCCGTGGGCTTGGTGCAAGAAAACAATTACAGAATCACAGGAGGTGGAGATGAAGAGCTGAAAGGGGACAAAACAATCAGAGTTAAATCAACAACACTGAAGACGTGATAAGCACAAACACACACATAAGAGCAACTCTAGTATCGACCGAAGTAAACTGAGTTTGAGTTTATTCTGCACCGGTTCACCAAAAAAACATGAGCCAGTATACAAAAAAAGACTCTATGAAAAGGTTCTGCAGTGATAATCCAAATTCTGTGATCCGGACTATCTACACAACACGTAGTACTGCACCGTACTATCACCTGGCAGTGAAACCATCTCGTGCTGCCAAACTTACTCAGGAATGTGTCATGGCTTTCAAATTTGAATAGAATGGAGAGCCA